TTCATTGTTATAAATTGAACATGATTATAGTGATTAATCACAAAACAATATGTCATTATGTATTGTGAAATATTTATCTCTAATGACAAATAAATGAAATTTTGTCTTGAAGCATGGTGTAGCATGGGTATCAGTCCTCATGCCGGGTACTTGTCTGTGGGCATATCTGCATGTGGGCCGACCCGCCTGGAGATGGATAGAGGAGTGGTGTCTCGGTTCCTAAGACCATCGGAAATATGTTTTCTGATGGTTTTAGGCGATCCCTGTGACAGGGTCATTCGACTCCCAAAAGGGTCGCTACCCACAGGTTGAGAACCGCTGCCATAGAGGCAGTCTACTCTGTCCTATAGAGTCACTATCAGCTGGAATAGACTTGATAGTTGTGATTTTGGTTTTGTATGTGTCTTGTGTCATCAAAATAAAGTTTGTTTCTTTAATTGAGACCTACTGAAAATGAATTAAATAACTGGAGAAATATACCGCATCCATGGACTGGAAATTAAATGCTATAAAAGTGACATATTTCCCCTTTCTGTTATATAGATTATATATAATTTAAATAAAAATTCTAACAGGTGTTATTTTGAACCTTGACAAACTTATCTGACTTTATATAAAAGTTAAAAATACAAAAGACAACAAAAACACTCTTTAAGAACAACAATTTGAGAGAAGTTGCTCTATACCTCACTGCATTTTCGTTAATTCCAGCTCATAGTGACTCTATATGACAGAGACACAGAGTAGACTGATAACAATGTGATAACAAGAGACCATAATAATGAAAACTAGAAAAACAAATGAGATTATGATTTATGTGCACCCTAACTGACCAACAATGGAGTTGTGACGGAATACCATTACTACATTAGGAACTACCTAGACACTGTACTCTTAGACATTTCAATCTAAGATTTTGACTTCGGTATAAATATTACCTCACATTAACACATTTAAGCAAGATTCTTTTTGTTTGAGGGGGGAGTCAATTGAATTGTTTTATTAGGGAAGAAATTCATGTAGCCTTCTAGCATGGAGAATACCTCACACAACCAAACCAGTTGCTGTGGAGTTGATTTCAATTAAGCAAAAATCTTAAAATCATACCTGGTTATGCTTTCTTCTACTGACACTAGCTATGTCCTCTTCACTTTCCCAGGGACTCTGACTTAAGAAGAATGACAGATTTGAGAGCCATATTAAAATATGATTCCATATTTTATAAATTTTATTTGATGTTTTATAAATATAACAAAAATTCAAGAAAAATTGAAACCATGAAAAATATAAACTGTACTTAGTATATGTGATACTAATTCCTTATACTATAGCTAGATACAAATCACAGTGCAATGTCTATACTACTCCTTTGTGATAACAAAAATATTACAACAGAAATAAGTTTAAATAAAACAATCTCTTGTAATATTGGAGAGGTGCTAGTAAAGAATGGTAGTGATTGAAGCAAAGGTTTCAAAATAAAAATATGAATAATTTCACTCATATCTTTGCTCTAATTATAAGCCCCTCTATCAGTTCACTGGATAGCTCACGTTTTCTCCTATGGAGTCTCTTAGAGTATAACATGTATAATCAGCATGGATGCTAATTACCTTTTTCCATGGCTAAAGTAATCATTGTGCGAGTATTGCGATGGTCCCAGCAGTTGCGAGTGTCTCCTGCGGTCTCCCCGAGTCTGGCTTTCCTGTGGCGCGGGTTTCTCCCCAGCTGATGTTGATGGTCAGCCCCGGCAAGTAAAGTTCAGAAGATTAAGAAATACTGAGAGAAAATTTTGTTTTCATATTTATTGACTATAATTTGATCCCATGTTTCCGAACCTCTATAAACGTAACTATATGTGCTATACGGCAACAATGTCTTAAGTGTGTTTTATGGAAGATTAATTTACATGAAAAAAGAATTCTTTGGTCAATTTAATTTGGTAGATGTTAGATTAAGCAACACTCAAAGGAACATGATCTCCTACACGAACACACACAAACACTCATTATAGGATTTCTCTGTCTTGTTATAGCGCATAACAGCACAATGGGGTAAATTCTATTTTACCTAAACTTAATGTCTTCAGACACATTTTACCAAAAGCATCTTTTGTTCTGAGAAATCTTCCCTAGAAAAAGCTGATTGAAATAACAGAACATATAATATCATTTGTTATTTCACATACAATCCCATTTATAAAAACCACCCTCCACTTTAAGAGAAATTTTCCAAGTAGGAAAAATAATGTAATCTATCTTTAAAATATTAGAATGTATATTCCAACTGATTAATTTTAAAACTATGAATCTGGTAAAGTTAATATAGAATACTTTCCTTGGGTAGGCAAGTTTTGTCATAATTTAGGAAAAAAAACATAAATTGAATTAATATTTGTAAAGTTGTTTTCAAGGACTGTCACCATATTTTGCTGCTGACTCCTAGCAACCATATGGACAACAGAACAGAACACTGCCCGCTCCTGTGCCATCCTCACAATTGTTCTTCTCTTCTGCCCACTCTTTTACCAAAGATGATATACTTTCGCAGGGCCTGGTCTCTCCCGACAACATATCCTAATTATGTGAGATGAAGTCTTGCCTTCCTGGCTCTAAGGGGCATTCTGGCTGTGCTTCTTCCAAGAGAGATTTGTTAGTTCTTGTGGCAGCCCGTGGCACCGTCAAGATTCTTACCACAATTCAGATACAGCGATTCCTCTTTGGCTTTCCTTATTCAAAGTCCAACTTTCACAGGCATATAAGATCGCTGAAAATACCATAGCTTGAGCCAGGCACAC